GTGCAAAAGTAAAAAGCTGTCAAGAAAATTCTTCCATGGCAACTTAAATATGCTTTCTCGCACTTGGGTGATCTGAGATTACATGTACACATTGTAATCAGCTTTACATTAATAACAATAAAATGTCCATTCCTATGAAGGAAAGTCATGAAGGGCTTTTTAGATAAATTTGGGACACCTTGCAAAGATAACCTGGATGTCAGCATGACTAATATCTAAGTGGGAAATATTTCAAGACTAATATTCTCTTGAAGTTTCCCTGAAATGCTTATTGCTTAGTGGATAGGGTCAGCCTCCAGAAGAAAGGAAGAAGAAACATCTCACAAAATTCTTTTATCACTTTTCTCCAGCAGACCACAGATGGCTGTTTCATCTTCTATGTTATTTAATGCTAATGGCTGCAGTGAGTTTACAGGTCTCTGACCCAACTTTGCAGCTGCACTGCTGCTGAATTGGTACCCATGGAAGCAGTAACTCAAGATTAAGACAAAATTCTGCATCAGAAAAATATCACTGAGCATTTTTTGACAACAGTAGCTAGAGCAGAATGGTGATTTTTGAAGGAAATAACAATGTTATTTTAAGGGAAAAGAATAACATACACTAGTCTCCATAAAATAATGTGAGGAAAATTCATGAGTCACCAAGAAATGTCATCACTGGATGGTGGTATCTGGAAAGGTCCTCCTGAATTACTTGTCCTAACACAGCCAAAGTTTATTGGGTGCTTGACTGATAAGTAAAATTGACATTTCTTGTCCCAGGGAGAAGAATGTGGGCATGGGAAAAGTATAAGACAAACAAAGGCTGAAAGTGGAGGAAGGGAAGGACATTCCTTTGGCTAGTTAATTTTCTGAAGTATGCTTCATAAAGGTTCTAACTAAAAGAATACATGCATTATGGTTTAGCATAATAATTCCACAGTGTAACTAAAAATATCCCACTGGATGCCAATTGACATGTTATATCTGAGCCTGTTGACTTTCTGCTGTAATTCTGTAGCAAAACATGGTTAAAGGGTAGATAGGCTTATCTGCACATGTGATGCTAGAACCCAATATCTTTGCTTTACAGTTATGAGTAAGAATCTTACCTACTTACTTACTCCCAAGTCTGCTTTGGAAATGATTAGAATGGAATGTCAACTGCATTAACGCAAGCACAGGGCTCTTACAGGAAGGTGGGTATCCGCTAAAGAATTGACTTCATAAGATAGAGGAAGTGAACTGAACCTGTTACCAGTCTGTGAGAAGAGAGGTACCAACAGCCTCCCAGTGCTTGAGTTCTCTTCTGTGCTACTGTATTCTTTTCCTTTAATTGTATAGATTAAACAAACAAACAAACAAATAAAACCCCAAAAAAACCATAAAAAAACAAAAAAAACCACACCCCAAAAGTATAACCCAGAAATCTTTTGCTGTTTTTTTAATATCCTCATTTTACAGAGGCATAAGCTTTCCTCTCTACCTAATATCCAAAAATGCAGAGAAGTCAGTAAGTTCAGGCATGCTTGTTATCAGATCTAGTGCCTCAGCCATCTGCCTCAACTGTTCCTGAAACTGCTGATAGTTGTCTGACAGAGATTATAACCACTGTCACTGAGTCCTGAGAAGACATTGAAGAAGTCAAGCTAGTATTAATTTATTTACATATCTTTGCCCTTGTAATCTATCTTTATCTAGCAGTCAGAATGGCTTAAACTTGGGGTTATGGTTCTAGTTCTGTAGGGGAAATGGCACGAGAAGATAAGAACTTGATTTTATAGGAGAGGAACAATAATAGCACTCACAATTTTCAGCTAACAGACTGACTTAACTTCACACATCCACAGAAGACAACTGTGAAAACAGGCAGAATTAGAGACACCATGCAGGAGACAACACTGTGGTATAAATCTTTAACAGCCAGAACAGAAATGTAGACCATATCAGGAATTGCAACACCTAATACGTGCGGGCTCTGCAGGGGACCCAGTAGGGTTGCATTAAATTTACCTCTCAGCATACAGTAGGAGTTGGATTCCCAAGAGCATGTTCAGGTGACTGAAGGGCTGATCAGTGAGTCTCACAGAGGCAGCCAGTGGGGATCAGGGAGCAGAAGACCTTTTCTCTGTGACTTAAATATTTGCATTTGGCCTGGGGCTACAGCCCAGGAGTTTTCCTGATGGTAGACAGCTATTGCCATTCCTTCTGGGTGAGACTGAATGATTTCCTCAAAAGCAAGTTGTGTCATGAAACTCTAGTGATGCCTGTTTCCCATGTGTGTGTGCTGATTTTGCACTACACCTCTTTACAATGACAACTTGTTTCCCACGAGTTCTACCAGCTAATAGAGGGTATGAGCTAAGGCATGTTTTGACACCTTATATCTCTTGCATACCCTACCCACAGCTCTCTCACCAGGACGTGAATTTGGATCCCTCCCTCCTACCCAGACACTTATTTTTCCAGAAGCTTTGCCCCTTTTTCAGTTTGACTGAATTTGGACAATGAGTTTAAAAGCTATGTGAGTTGAGGGGGCGGCTGGGAAGATTTACAGAAAAGAATAACCTTATGGCCCATTAAGCCTGGTGTTTTTAAGGCAGGCCAAAAAAAAAAAAAAAAAAAAAAAAAAGAGCAAGGGCAGAAATGGCTGCCTTAGTTTTTACAGTTTGAAAACCTAGTGATGAAGCACCCTCCCTGGAAGCAGAAACAAACCCAGCCTATGTGGTTTCAAATCTGCATCTTTCATGATCAGGGAGATTTCACCTAATAATCAAATTATTTAATCATGGAGAAAGGCTCTTGTGACCTCTGCCTTATGATTTGGCAAGGAAGCAGCTGTGGAGACAGACCTATTGTTAGACTATGAACTTGTGCCAATATTTCAGAAAAACACAAAGTTTAGCACCTGAATCCAATTTTCAGCAGCTACCTGAGTGGGTCGATCCTGAGCCTTTAGCAGTTCCCAAATGAAGGCTGCAGTGAATCAGAACATCTGTACATGAGGCTAGATATTTAAATGTCTAAATACATATTTACATGAATACAGTCTACAGTGCCAATTTTTAAGTGTTTTGACTTGAACTAACTTCCTAACAGATGGTTATTCTGAATCTATATTCATTTATTTATGGCTGTTTATGTTTTTACGGATATAATAAATGATCTAAAGCTTATTCCTTGTCTATTTATTTATATTTTAATAACAGTTAAAGATATTGTTGTACTGCACAATTTATAGAAATTATATAAAGATGGTCTTTTTGTGTTGTACTTACATGACATCCCTCTGAATGTTCAAGGAAAAACTTCTATGACCATACGACAAAGTGAGCAAGCATAAATGAGATGTAAGAATCATCTATATTATTGTAATTATAAGTGAGATGTTGCCATAAACATCCCCAAAAGACATGAAATCAAAAAAAGAGGAGAAAATACAGGAAGATAGATAAAATATTAAAATATGTATATGAGAAGCTTTGGAAAGTGGAATTCAACAAAATTCATGGAAATTTTCCCAATAAGATAAAGTTCATGGTATATAAAATGCTGAGTTTGGTATCATAAGCAGATATAGGCTTGACTCAGGAAACTGTCATGAAAATGTGTAAGTGATTGCAAAATCAGGACTAAAGAGTGTTTATTTATATCAAAACATTTCCTAACTAAAGAAATAAGCATATACAACGTATTAAGAAATGAAGGGCATAAACCTGCTGCCAGCGATAGTCATGTCTCACCATGTAAATCAATGAGTTTCAGAAAAGTAAATGAGAGAGAGAGTTAGCTTTTCTCTGCCCACTACAGTGATCAATTAGCTTATTTCAAATAAGAAAAGACTTGCTATGTTGTTATCTCTTAGCTTTTTTCACATTATCAATAGCACCAGAAAACAACAGCTATCCCTTACACCTCTAAAAGCAAAAGGCACATGTGACCATGAAACACTCTGAGACTTCACGAAAAAATGTCATGAGAAAGAAAATTCCTCTACTTTGAAGTTGTATTTGTTTATATGTAAGTTTTAATATCCAGGGAAAGCAAAGCTTCCTGTAATAATTTTCTTACATTACTATGACATGCATTTCTAATGCATGGTTTGTCTAAAGAAGGTTCAGAAGATATTAAGAGTTGCCAACTTTTATTATACAACTTTACATGCACGGTAACACCTCTGCATTTGTATCAAGAAATCAGGTCTGAAAGGAAAGACAAGAAATTTTCCCACTGAATGATAAAGTTGGTTTATTTCCATAAGCCAAATAAATTTTTCAGGAAACATAAACTCAAAAAATTATTGATGTAGAACAGTTTTTATCACATCAGCTGCAGGACTCCACTGGGGAAAACAGAAAGGAGAAGCCCTTAGGCCACATTTTGTGTGACCTAATTCTTTCAAGGGTATGTTTCTGCAAATTTTTAGGAAGTGACAATGCAAATGAACAACAGTTCCCACTGTGATGTTTTCATGGAATTTCTGCATAACCTCCAAACAGCAGACTTTGCACCAATACTACAGTACACAGTTTTTTTGTAGTGCTTAATTACTTTTGGATGTAAATGAGCAGAAAAACAATTATCACACACCCAGCAGAAGAAATGGTTATGCTTCTATAAATTTCTGGTATTCTACTGCTGTGACTGTCAATTTAAAGTTTCAGTCTCTGTGCTGCTGCCAGTTAATGATTAGTCTACTACATTTTGGTGAAATTGCACACCAGAAATGAAGTAAAAAGATGAGGGAAAAAAGAAACTAATATTTTGGAAGTCTAATTAGAATAGCAGGGCCAGTGCTGGACTTAGCTGTGATGAGGTTGACTTTCTATTAAACTCAATATGCTGAATTCACTGAGAGGAAGATCAAATGCCATGATTTCATTTTCATGAGTGATGTGTTAATAGGAGTGGGATTAACTTCTTCCTCCTGTAGTGATTTTTTTTACATTAATGCAAATCAGAATGCAATCATTCTTCCCTTTGCCAGTATAGTTCTAAAACCTGCCACTTTACTTTCAGAACGTGCCATGCAGCTTATTTTGAAGGAAATCACATTGCTTTAACAGAGGAAGAAAAAAAATCATTCTATTGACTTCAGCATCATCAGCAATGTCTTCCAGAAATACATTTTAAGAACTTCCTATGTCAGACAACCATTTCTCACTTATATGGTTTTAACTCATGCTGCTTTGTTTCTGAGTACTTGCAGCAAGTGAATGTGCTTTCATTTAGCAACTCAAGTTTTCCATTTAAACAACTAAAGATTGCATTTGAGTCATAGCTGATAAAAGCATGCTAATAAAATTCTTTTAAAATTAATGTAATTGGATTTTATCTCAAAATAGTAATACCTCTGCAAAATACCCCACAAATCCCAGAAAAATACAAGCCAAACCCTCTCCCCCAACCAATACCCTGATACTGAACTCTGTATTTCTTCCCTAGAACATGGATGTATTATATTATTTCACTTTTCCTTTAAAAGTGTTAATGGGCATTAACCACATCTATTACTAGCCATATATGCTGAAATACTTCAGGGTTCCTGACACATGATGTCACACTTGCTACAATAAGTATTGATAATAAAACCTGCTTGAATGCCAATAAATATGTATTGTGGAGAAATATTATACACAAAGCTTCATCCTTCCACCTACAATTATTTAATACAGAAAGATCCAAGCCATATATAATTTAGATAAGGCAGAATAGCATTTTAAATGAAAAAGGTCAGATGCATGTACTACACATTTTTCATTTTAAATTGTGCACAAAGTCTACTTGTAGACCTTTGAAATTGATGGCAAATGTAAGTGTTTATTCAGCTGGAACTTTAAGTATTTCGTATATAATGCATATGTTCCTGAATTAGTTTAAATTTGCTACTACAAACAAATACTGGGATGTTGTGCACACATCTCAAGTATTCTATACAGCAGATTAAAAATGTGAAATGGACATCAATTCCCTAATGCTTCATAATGTCTATTCAATAGTAAAAGAAATCAATAGAATTTTGTATTTGATTTTCTAAGAGAACCACAACAACACGCCACTTCTTACACAAATACAAAGAAAATCTAAGGAATGCATTATATTTAATTTTTTTTTCTTTCTTTTTGAGTGTTTTGTTCTGAGGATTTTCTCAAAAATTATTTTGAGAAACATCTTTAACAAAAATACTTCTATTGGCAGAGTTATTTTCTTTGGGGAGTAACTTTGATAGTCCAAAATCTTCGATGTGTCAATAGCTCCACCATATTGTTTATTTATCTCAAAAATGTTCTTAGCTTTCACTTGTCCCAGTGTCTCACATGAATCAGCTCTTAAAATACAGAAGTTGTACAAATTCACATTCTATCAAGATACAAAATGTCAAGAAGAGACTATTGAGTTAAATTTTGCTAAAGCTATCATCTTCCAGCCTATCCCCTTATACTGATGGATTCTCCTGTTAGCTAGAGCACCAAAGCAGCTCACTTGGATAGCTTGGCATTCAATCATACAATGACTGAACAGTTAAAATTTTTGAAAAATGCCTTTTCCCACCTAAGGTTGACTCCAAAGCTGTACCTAAGCCTGTTGTCTTATGATTAGGTCCTGGCTTTTTCATTGAAAACTGCCTGAATGAATTACTGACATTTATATTACTTCAACAGAAGTACCACAAACACTGAGTGTTGTTATCCTTTAAAATGGTCAGGCCAAAGATGTGGTCTCTATCCGTGAAAGTCCTGTAAGAAATGTTTTTTCCCCATGTGCTGCAGAATATATTTATACATGAGAAGACTCATCCTCAGTTGTTCTCTTTTGTATTAATCATGGATCTATCAATCTGAAAAACGAAACTCACGGGAGCAGAAGATAGGCTAATTCAATAAACAGAACAAAAGATTTCAGATTCCCTGTCAGAGGACATTAGATTGACCACAATTTTCTCAGCTTTCAGAACAAAGCTGAAAACTCACTTCAAATTAGTATCCTCATAGTCACTATAAAAATCAGCTACAAAGAAGAAAATAGGACACGGATCATGGTGGAAGGGGTGAGGCTAAAAGTAAATGAGATTGCTGAGCTGTTGTGAGTCTAATTAATTTTTGGAAAATACTCAAATCCTATGACAGGTAACATTAAGATAGGGGAGAAATTACCATGGAAAAGTATTTAATGTTTGGAAAATAGAAAATGTTGGTTAAATAGAAAATCAGATAGGAGGGTGATTTTTTTTTTTAATTAGCAATGAAATAATCACATTAAGTAATAAATAATTTGTGGCTTTTACCATAATCACAATTGATTCCTTAGTTGTAATGGTATCTAGAAAAGAAAATGGTTTAAGTTAAGAAAATGTGCTATTTAAAATGCATGTGTATGGTACTCTGTAATAAGGTATGGATTATAACTGTGTACTTGACTGACATTCCATTAAAAAGCTTTAAATTGAGTAAAGATGGGTGTGTATTGAACTGCTGCATTTTAGTGCACTTCTGGTGGCAAATCAAGAGATCGCTCTTGAGCTGTATCACCGAGGGAGTGGGGCTGTGTGCTAAAGGGCAGTGTCTGTAATCAGCAGTCTGTAATCTGTCCCTACCAGGTGTTATCTCAAGACATGCACATGCTGTTTCCATCTTCTGAACCAAACAGAAAACATTAGGACAAAATGTTAGATTACTTTTCCATAAAATTTAAATACAACTACCCTTAGATAAGTATTTTGGAGTGACAAACTCTTATATGAGCTGAAGATCTGGCAAATTCCATTTACTTACAAAAGACAAAGTATTTCCCCAAAGACAAGTGAGTTCATAAGTTTCTGAAACAATCACAAAAAATCATCTTATCATCTTAAAAGCATCTAGCAAAACATACTTGGAATGTTTGGAAATATAACATAAACCCTAAAGAATAATTTTAAATTGGCATTAAAGTCCAAGATTTACTCCAGGTTTACTGACCCAGCAGGAAATAAGTGTTATTTAAATCTTAAAATTGCTAGTGCACAGAATTGAGTTTGGCTTCAGGAAGAAGAACAGGAGTGAGGGAAAGATGAGTTTTTTGGACATCTAAGTCATGATGTCAATGAGTAGCATGTGACAGAGCCCACCATTTGATATTATGAGGTTTCAGTGATGGAGGTTATTCCTTGGAGCTATTTTATTTACAATATTGCCATTAGACCTACTTCATCACAGCCCATGTAAACAAGGAAATGGCAAGACCATGGTCTTTAGGGATATCTATAAATAACAAAAAAATTAATCCACTTTCGTCCATGGAGGTGAAGTAAATGAATAAGGAAGAGGTATTTCCTACTGCTACTATGTAAGGAGAAACTCACTTCATGAATATAGATGCTATTTTAACTGAGGTACAAGTAGATCTGCAAATAGAATCTAAGATAAGGCATCTACCATTTTAAGCAGAAATAACAGTGGTATATCTACATAATATTAAATACTTAGCAAATTTACCTTAGTGGAGTTTACAAATTTGCATCTAAATATAAAATGCAGGTATTTGAACCACCATTTATACTCCAGCTATACATTGTGACCATTCTTTTGCATAATTTTAACACCATTTGTTTGTTACACTTTATTTATTAAAAGAAACTAATAGTTTATGTTTTATTTTTCAGAGAAATATTTTCTTAAAAATAACAAACAAGAAAAAAGCTTTTAAAATTATTCTACTACACACAAAATGTTATAAGCTTCAGAGTGTATTTTAAATGCTCCAGAAGAATTGGATATTTGGGGTTTTAGTTAGTTTGGTAGCCACCACTGCTTCACTTTGAACAATTAAACTGGTCAAATACATGTTTCTCTGGGAATGATGAATGAAAAACATACTGTTCAGCATCTTTGTTAAGTGTCATTGAATTTGGCATGTATGCTAAGAATGAAATCTCATTTCTTCTTCTAAATTTGTAGATCACAAGTTGCATTAAGTGGAGAGAAAACTCCCACACAATGTTTGGATTTTGTACCATTACATTTCAGTAAGTTCTAATTTCATCATTATAGCATATCCTATAGGATTTAGAAAATGTTTTGCCTTTTTTTCTGATGAATGTTTTATTTTTAACATATTATTTCCTAATTTCCATATTTCTGAATCCCATGATTGATTAGAATAGGGATTTGAACAAATAAAATAAACATATTTTGTTGGCTGAAAACAACTGATCACATACAAAGAGATGAAAGTCAAACCATAAACCCAGGAATGAAAGGCCTTGGGCATCAGTGAACCTCGGCTGCTTACCTGATTTCTAACATGGGCTCTCATGGACTTCAGCAGAACCCTGAATCCACCAGGGCCTTTTTTCTGATGAATATCCTGACTATCACTGGCAGGCTTCATTTATAAATAAGAGCCCACAATGACTTCTCTTTTCTCCTGCCTTTCAGGTGTGTAGCTGGTATACTTGGATATTTGTGTCAGTGGGCATTTATTTTATGGCTTGCTAGCTCTAATAGTAAGTTCCTATTTATGTCTTAACCAGCATCTACATTAGTTTTTCAATGAGCCATACTAATACAGAAATATAATTTGAAACATGCTTTCAAACAACAAACTACTAATTAACATATAAGGTAAATGGGCATGGCTACAGTACATGCTGTCAGTCATTTAAAAAATTTTTGACTTTGCTATTTAGAAACTGATGTGTTGAGCTATAGATCTTGATGCACATATTGACTTTTGCAGTTCTTGGTGATATGAATACCAAGATTTTACATATATATAAAGCCTCTAGGACTATTGGCAATAGCATAAAAAATAAATAAGATGTAGAAAAAAACATTTCAAACAAGAAGCCTAATAAACACAGAATCTTCTCTAACTCAGTCAGAGAAAAAAATAATCTTTAAGTATTTTTCTCTTTCCACATAAGCTCTGGAGGTTAATAAAACACATAAAATAGAGTCAGTAGTATGACTGCTCAACTAACCCTGAAGTTTTCCAAAAGATATAAGACAAAGATCATCTAAGCTTATTTCACAAGTACAGTCACCCACATGATGAAATCATTGGCCTGTACTAAAAGCTAAATCAGCTTCTGGATGAAGAAAGAGTATATTTCAACAATATTACCAGGTAACTTTTAGACTTAAATTGGTATGAAGATAAAGATACGAGGAGAAATGTAGATAGCATGCTGACTTGACACACATTAACTGGATATTCACCACAACACATGAGAGTTGGAAGTCTAAGTGTATAATTGTTTTCTGGTGTCGTCCATTTGTCCACAACTACACCATGGAATTTTCTCCAATTAGTTGTGATTTACTCAAATGTCTGGAACTGTACTGAAAGCTGTAAAATGAGAAAGATCCAACAGCCATGTAGAAAGGTAAAGGTGCACGATACTTCTACATTTATCTCCTTTCCATGGTAAACAGCATTTAACCTTTCCAAGAACTGAAATCATACACGAAACAAGAAATGCAAGTAACAAGGACAAATAGTCTTTCATTCCCTGCAAATAACAGCAATATGAAAGAGTAGAAAGAGTATTGGAAGGAAATGCTGTGTGACCAGTCTTCTGGAAGTTTTCAGGAAGCATGAAGATTATGTACATTTAAGAGGATAAAAAATCAGATTTCATTTAAACA